CCTTAAATAAAGCTGGACATACACTTAATTTTCTGCTTGGCTGAAATTGGATTAGTGTGTGGTCCCATCCGTGCTCCTCCATTGGACAAAAGTCAATTTTTCAATCGACTTTTGTCGAAGGAGTAGGTATGAAAACTCTCAGCTGCACAGTGACTGCAGCCAATAAGCTGGAGTCACTATTTGGGTGTTCTGAAAGCAGTACAGAATTCCAAAAGATGTCACCAGCACTCCAAGATTAGATTCAATCAATTTTAATGACAACGGTCATTCAAAATCACAAGTACTTTCACAAGCTCATTCTGAGCCTGATAACGGGGACCCAACGTGGCCCCGAAAGTACTTGTGATTTTGAATGACCGTTGTCATTAAAATTGATTGAATCTAATCTTGGAGTGCTGGTGACATCTTTTGGAATTCTATTTGGTTACGCGGTGCCACCGTGGTCACTACGAGCACTCTATTACAGACATTATCTCCCAGGAGATCCGGTAAGGAGTGCAGTAAGACACACATTTTTTCTGAAAGCAGTACATGCGCCATTGCCAAAATACAATAGGCTAGGAGAGGGATTCACCCATGCACGCTGTTTAATGTGGGGGAATAGGGCATGGCCAGCTTAAGTTTGATTGGTTGCTGTAGGGAGATCTCTTCAGTTCATGGTAACAACACATCGATATGTAGTGTATTTGTACTCTTCTGGGTCTTGTGTTCTGGTTGTACCACAGAGTTTATGTGCATGGAGTTGGTATGTTTTGCCCTTATTTGTGCTGGGGTTCCTTTTGAATGTTCCATTTTCATAACACAAAAACATAACTAGTAGGATAATCAGCTGCCATCTAGATTTTCCCATGTGAGTGGATGACTGTAGTAAGTATATTAGTTCATAAGCCTCTTGGGGGCACAGGCTGGTATAAATGGTTTACTGATCTCTAAAGCAGCCTTCCTCAATCAGGGTGCCAAGGTACTCTGTGGTGCCTCCTGGCTTCCTCAGGGGTGCCTTGAAATTTCCACACAGCTTCATGACTTTCTATGGTGCAGGCCGGCTGCCAGCACAATAGAAACAAATGCTAATTCAGGGAGGATGGGGTCGATTCGGAAAAGGACACCAGGCCTACGCCGCCTCCCACCCTGTGCAATGCTGCCACCGCTGTAGCTTCTGCTATGATAGACTCTGATGTAAAGAGGGGTTCTGATATGAAGAGATCTCCTGAGGAGAAGGGGGCTTCTGATATGAAGAGATCTCCTGAGGTGAAGGGTACTTCTGATATGAAGAGGTCTCCTGAGGTGAAGGGGGCTTCTGATATGAAGAGATCTCCTGAGGAGAAGGGGGCTTCTGATATGAAGAGGTCTCCTGAGGGAAGGGGGCTTCTGATATGAAGAGGTCTCCTGAGGTGAAGTGGGCTTCAGATATGAAGAGGTCTCCTGAGGTGAAGGGGGCTTCTGATATGAAGAGGTCTCCTGAGGAGAAGGGGCTTCTGATATGAAGAGGTCTCCTGAGGTGAAAGGGGGCTTTTGATGTGAATGAGATACTCCGGTGTTAAAGGGGGGCTCTGACTTGAAGTGGATACTCTGATATGACTCCTGGTTCAAAAGGGAAACCTCACTTTTTGTGCAGGGTCTCGCCCACACCCCCTCCTTAGAATCCATTAAAAGTATGCACAATCTTGAGGCACCTCAGTCTAAATTGTAAAGGGTGTTGTGACCTATAAAAAGGTTGAGAAATGCTGCTCTAAAGTATTGCATAATATGTCAGCCCAATATAAAGGACTAGAATAATTTTTTTGCATGCGCTCATGCCATATTCTCTTTATTTTAGTTTTATCAAGAAATTTTTGAGTGGCCTTTTCTGGCTGAAACGGGGGAGTATTACAAACAAGAGGCTTCAAATTTATTACAAGAATCAAACTGCTCACAATATATGGAAAAGGTGAGCTATGCTGTCCAGTATAATTTTCTTGTATCTGTCATATAGTATTCAGTTCACCAATGTCTTCACTGTTTCTCTGCAGATTTTAGGTAGATTAAAAGATGAAGAAATTCGATGTAGGAAGTATTTAAATCCCAGTTCATATAGTAAAGTGATTCATGAATGCCAACAGAGAATGGTCGCCGACCACTTGCAGTTTCTACATGCAGAATGTCACAATATCATTAGACAAGAAAGGAGAAACGGTAAGTGTGCTAACACTAATGGGATTTAAAGGGGTTGTGAAAGTCCAAATGCACTTCAGTAGAATTCCAGTAGCAGAGTGAACAGGAAGAATATAGGAACGTGGAGTGAAGAAGAACCATATAGAAGCCTAAAAAAATAACTTTGACAAATGTGTATAATAGTATCATAGTTTAGTGATGAACATTAAACTGGGGCTAAGCTTTGAATGAACAGGCTTCATGGAATCTTATCCAAAAGCACCCTACTGCTGCCATCTTACTCATTGGGTAAGAGCTCAGTAGAAAGCTGGGGGGCTACTGTATGCCAAATGTATCTTGCTTTCAAAATGATTGCTGAAGCCAATAAAAACAATTACTGCTCAGGAAAGTTTAGAGTGGAACTCCAGCCATTTTTTTTTAATTGCCCGCTTGGTCACTATGGGTGAGATTTAAGCTGGTCATTTGCCATGGGGGATCCTGAGGGGGGCCACACACTGGTCAAATTTCAGCTGAGTCAGCAGGATTTTTCAATTGAGCTTTGCCAAAGATGCCGGTCTAAAAATTCTCAGTTGAACAATGACTGCAGCCAGTCAGATGCAGTCATTGATTGGGTATTCTGACAGAATACAGTACAGAAGGGTGGGGAGAAGGGGACATGAATATGGGACACCTTACTGCTTGTCTTGCACCGATGACCACACAGGAAATAAGCTTTTCTCACTCTACTGAAGAAAGCTTTTGTGGTTGAGGTTTTCAATGCTGCTCTGAAGATTATCATGTTCAGCATATTATGGAAAGCTGTTTAGAAGTATTTCAGTCCCTACAGTTCCCCCCCCCAGATCCAGTATTGGAGTGTTGAGTGCAGATCTTAATGGATTGAAGTGCTGACTGTAGCTTTAAAGTGTATTTCCACTTTCACAACCAAATTGGGATAGCTCCTATTATTTATTTGTTACATGTTCCCATTCACATAGCATAAGCTAAAACATTTTTAAAAATGCTTTGTGCAGTTTAAATTGCTGTTACTTGGATTAGGGTTTCTTGGCTTCTTAGGCTACATTCACACTAGGTGCAAATAGATACGTTTATATGAATTGAGAATGTTTTTTTAAACGCATATAAATGCATCTAATGATTTCCAATGAATCTATACCAGGGGCGCCCACAATTTTTCGTCTGGAGATCTACATTTCAAATGACGAGCTCAATGAGATCTACCAACGAAAAAACACCTGCATTCAGGGGAGGGGAGTGGCGGTGCATTGAAGTCAATGGCACCGCAGCCACGCCCCTCGCCCCTCACAATGCTGCGAGCAGGTGATTGCACTGCGGGCGGGCGGTGTGGCTGCGGTGGCATTGACTTCAGTGCAACCCCACACCCCTGAACGCAGGGAGCCCGGTTGGCTTGCGTTCCAGTGCATTCTAGAGGCCGAACACTCTGGAATGCAGACTTTGTGGTTTGAAAACGCCCTCTCTCTTCTCGTCTCCTCGCGCGCTATTCCCCTGTTTCTATCTGCGCTCTCTCTCTTTTTCTCTCTCTCTTTTTCTCTCTCTCTCTCTCTCCTCTCTCACTTTCTCTGCTGTCTCTCTCCTGTCTCTTTTCTTACCTCCACAGCAGCAGCTTCCCAAGTCTCCTCTCGTGCGCCGGCGTCCTGTCCTCCCGTGGTGCTTGTGTGGCCAACATTGCACATGCGGAGAGGTGTCCTGCCCCTTCCCATCCTGGCGTCTGACACATTCAGCCGGCAGCCGCACAAGCACCACGGGAGGACAGGACACAGGTCAGTGAGCCGATCGCGATCTAACAGTGTTCACTTTGCGATCGACCTAATGGGCACCCCTGATCTATACCTTAGAAGAAGAAAAATAGAAGTCAGGTGCGTCCAGGAATTGATTTTAACTTCTAAATCTCACCTAAATGCATGTAAACGCAAGATGCATTTATTTGCAGAAATCTCATTGGCTACTTCAATGGACTGTTTCAATACACTAAGGATAGATGCATTTAAAAGCATATCCGTGTATGTAAATGCGTGTAAACTTACATCATTTTAAGCAACCAGAAGCATATATAAAGCATCTAGCCTGACAGACTTTGCTGACAGATCACTGCAGAAAAAGGCAAGTGTGAATGAAGACTAAAAGGTTACAATTTCTACTTGTGTCTCCTTTTGTGATGTTAGTAGGGTCTGTGAGGGGTGAGGGGTTAAAGAATTACAACCCTGGCTTCTCCACTGTATGTTAATGAGAGAAACACAATCCTCTAATTTCAGTCCTAAGTCTTTCTATAAGGACAGAGGACTGTGAAGGTGCTGAGAAAAACCTGGAGTCAGCCCCGTTGCCTGCTGCAACAAAACAGCTAAAAGGTAAGAAATATTAAAAAAACAAAAACAAATTCACTATGCTCTGTGACTGGGAACACATAACAAACATATAGAGGGGTTTTCTCAAATTTAACTGCAAATACTGCAAACTGGAAATACACTTTAACCCCTTCATGACTGAGGCCCCCCCCCCCCCCTCCCCCCACCCCCATTTTTTGCACCCATGTTCTATTCCACATTTTAGGCCTGAAAATTACTTCAAACCCCCAAACATTATATATTTTCTGAAAGCCAAGACCCTATAGAATAAAATGGTGGTAGTTGCCAATTTCTATGTTGCACGATATTGGGGCAACTCCTTATCAAACCCCCAAATTTAGTGAAAAATGCACTTAAATGCCCCGCAACACAATACCCATTTGTTTAATAAAAGATGAGGTTACAACGAGTAAATAGATACCCAACATGCCCAGGTTAAAAACTGCATGTGTCCGTGAAATGGCGAGAATTATTAGAATTATTGCTCTCGCTCCAGCGTGTGCAGCGATACCCAACATGTGTAGCGTGTTCGTTGTTTTCATACGTAGGCGCACCTGTGTTTATGTGAAGGCATGCATGCTTGGGGCGGGGGACTCTAAAAAAAAGAAATTTAACATTTATTTTATTTAATGTTAATTTTAAAAACTTGTTGTTTTTTAATTTTCTTTTTAACTTTAATTGCTATTACATAGGGGGGATTACAAGCCCCCATGTGATAGCAGATGGTGGTGACAGGTAGTCTTTAAGGTGATGCTGGGGGTCCAAAAGACCCCCAGTGTCACCTTTGCACTCTAAATAAGCTATTGAAGTGCAGATCACACTTCAATAGCTTATAGCTGGGCTTCAGACGCCCAGCATTGACAGCTTTGGGACCGGAAGTGATGCAATCTGTGATGCATAGAACGGGATCGGCGAACAGAGGTTCGCCCATCTCCTCCCCTGCTTCCCGCTGACACCAAAGAAGCCGGTCCCAGGCCTGTAGGAGGGGCAACGGAGCCTGGGAAGCGGGGGCGGGGGGGAGACCTGTTCAGCGGCCCGTAGAAGCGATTTGGCGGCAGCTGACAGTCGGCTTTACAAGTTTAAACAGAGTCCGGGAGTATGTTTAAACAGCCCCGATGCCAGTGACGTACACTGTACGTCGCTGGTCGTGAAGGGGTTAAACAAGAATGTGTCAGGCTGCAGCTGAAGTTCACTAGAAGCCTGCTGAAATTTGCTCAATGCTGATTGAATGCTTCAGCCTGCATTTCCGTTGATGCATAGCACATAATATTTTGCCAAGGAGTACTATATATAGCACATTTTGTATTTAAGGGGACATGGCATGTATGCAAGTAGCCACTTATGAAGGGAAAACAAAGTCTTGCACCAACTTTGCACTGTTTGCAGTGATACATTTTGAATGGGCCACATTATGTTCGATGTGTATCCCCATACCCATTGGGAAATGTGGGCCTTTTTGGTGGTTTAGTCTAAGGAAGTACATCTCCAAAGATATTGCTCTATTACAACATCTCTAACCTGTGATCACTAACAACAAATGTAACTTGCTCCTTTGTGGTTGCAGATATGGCCAATATGTATACCCTTCTACGTGCAGTATCCAGTGGTTTACCTCATATGATTCAGGAATTACAGAACCATATCCATGACGAGGGCCTTAGAGCTGTTAGTAATCTTTCTCAGGAAAATGTAAGTATTCCCAAAACTGTTAAAACTACTAGTAGTTGGTCATATTTTGGCATGTTCGGTAATGTTGGAGATGTTTAACCATATATCCGAACAGCTTTTTCAGCTCTGAACTAAAGAAACTGAATCAGTAGCAAAATGCCTTCCACATTAGAGAACTAGCCCACCTAAAAGTAGAAAACTACTACTAGTTAAACGATGACCGGCATCCCAGTGCTGCTGATCTCCTGGAACCTCTTTACTGCTGCTTACTGTCTAGAGGCATGTATTCCTGCAATAGCTGCATGGCATTTCTCAGGACACGGGTTTCCTGACTGTTATAGAGGTGGACCATGCCTGTTTAATCTGTATTAAAACAGCCACCTGTAGTCTCTATTGGAAACCCATGTGACAGGGTGACCAAGCAGGCGCACAGGTGGGAGACAGGTACAGAGTGTTGTCACCTTATACACGAAGTGCCTGAACAAGGACCTTCATGGCAGGAATATTAGATTATATTTTAATGAAGGCTGCAGAGTTGGATGATATTTTATTGATAAGGGTAACATATATACTTTGAGAATAACAGGGTTATTCACAAAAGGATGAAGAGTTTGGAGAAGTCAGGAGAAATTAACAATCTAGGACAACATAGCTGAATTGGAAAGTGAGCTGAATTGGAGAATTTTTCCAAATCGGCTGTTTAGTCCTAGATTGTTCACTTCTCCTGCCTTCTCCAAGCTCTTCACCCTTTTCAGAAATAACCCTGTAAATTTAATTTAAACACCCGCATATTGCAGTGTATTGGGAACACCTGGTATTCATATGTATAGTAATAAATAAAAAGCAGCAGTCCAAAGCAATCTAACTGCCTACAATAGTATGTACATAGCGTATAGTTGGGTCTCTCTCTGTCTTGTTGGTAACCCAGGCTAGCTATTGAGCTAGCCATAAACTTTATATTTTCACTCGATCCCCTCCATCAACAATAAACAGCATTAAAGAAGGACTCTTCTCTACCATGACAGCTGGCACCTATAGCTGTCAGAATACCTGAACAGTGGCTGCAGCTAATCGATTGCAATAAGTGTTCGCTTGACAAATGTGGTGATAGCAGATTGAATTCCAGGCGATTTAGCAGGAAACGGACAGAATGCGATCTATGCATAGCCAGCTTCATGATATTTTGGTCCTGTTACACAATGATATTGCAGCATGATGGGGCCTGATTTGTGCCTACTGCTTTGATGTCTCAGTTATACAGGAAGCGAAACAGATCACATGTATTGGAGGTTGATATGACTAAAGAACATAACCATTTAAATCCCCAGTTGTTCGATATTAAAGCATGCTGACAGTATATATTAAGGTCTTTAATACAGGTCTTACTTTTATTAAGGTATGTAATAATCTTCACAGGCAGGTAGGAGGGAAGCAGGCTAACCCCACTCTACCCAAGACTAAAAAAGGTTTTTGGTTTAGATACAAAAAGCGTAAATAGTAAAGCACCAGCTATAACTTTCTGAGCAGATTGACAGCCTGGCTCCTGTTAGTAGTGATGCATGTAGTTGCATCTTGGTAATCCACTTTTCTCAATGCTAATCTACCAGGCACAGCTTGTCTGATTGAAAACAATATACTGTCTATAGTCTCAAGTCTTCTAGGCCTTCTAGTAGCCTGGGACCATGTGATCTAACTAAGTGGGATTGAGGGCTGGGTTCTTCAAAATTCATGGCAATGAAAGAGGCACTTTTTTATTTTTTTTTACTCTGAACAATAATGTCACTTGTCAATGCTGATATTTGCCCTGTCAGTTCATACAAAGTCTAAATCTGAATAAAACATAAAATTATCAGCCTGTCTTTCAACACTTCTGTAAATCAATAGCTTATATTTACTTTTTCTGTTGCGCACTTATTGATTTTCAGATGCCAACCCAGTTTGTGGAATCCGTCTTAGAAGTCCACAGTAAATTTGTTCAGCTTGTCAACACTGTTTTAAATGGAGATCAACATTTTATGAGTGCGCTAGACAAGGTAAGGTGAACGCCGGAAATCTCCCTCTGCTGCATTTAAAAGGCAGCAAATCTGCTGGACACTGTGTGCATATTAGTGTACTACCATGAAAAAATATCCCCTTATACTTTATTGTGACATATAATAGGCTATTGAAATCCCCCCAAAATCCCTTATTATATCAAATGTAAGTTGGTACATGCACTTAAATTTCAGTTTGATTTTCCATCATGCCTACAATAGTTTAGTAAAATAAATGACTGCAGGATCTTGATTTTTTTTTCCCCACATTTATTGTGTGATTTACAGAAGAACTTACCCTTGCAGTGGAGCCCTCCCCCCTCAGGCAAATATATTTGCCTGATCTTTAGTCCAGAGGTCAGCGCTCACCTCTATTCTCCTCCGCTACTGTTGTGGAATCGGCGCCCTCGCGTCTAATGCAAGTCATTGAACCTAGGGGAGAAGAGGCTGCAGGGACCAGTCCAGTAGCTTGGCTGGAGTTCTATTATATCCCTTTTATCACAATGACATTTCACATGCAGGCCACAGCCACACAAATCAATACGCCCTCTATTCGATTGTACTTTTTTAACCGTAGAACTATTTTATTTTTTGACATTCCTACCAATCTCTCTATTGCTTTCTTTTTTTATTTCTGACAAAAGGGAATGTCAAATGCGGTAGTTGTTTTTAAAGGACAACTTCAGAACTGAAGGTTGGCATTAAAATATAACCCCTACCTTTGCTCGGAGCAACACAGCCTTTGCAAGAAAAATATCCTGGCTGGGTCTTGTGGCTGGTGCGCACGTGTCACTGCCCCATTTATTCCTATAGGGAAAAATGAGTGAGAGTGCGTGTGTACTTCTTTGGCATTCTGTTATATCCCCAACATTGAAGAATGGCCCCACGTTTGCTGAAAGTAACTGTGTATATGTAATGTTGTTACATAGTTGTGACACAGGAGGGCAGCCAATCTACCTTCTGTATCTGTGTCTCTTTTTTTTCAGTTACAAATGAATGTTTTCTGTAATTTTCTGACTTTTCCTGTTCACCTACAGCCCTGGTTCCCCATCTGTGGCCCTCTGGCACTTATTGTTGCCCCTAAGGCACTATAGACATTCTGGGGGAAATTGATCAAATCTGGAGCAGACCAAATCGGAAGCAGATTTGCATGGCAGTCAATCAGCTTCTATCTCTCATTTTCAAATCCCAACTGAGCAAACTGAAGCGAGAAGCTGATTGGTTGCCATGGGCAACTGCTCCAGTTTTGATAAATCCCTCCCTCCTGTGTTTTCACCAATCTAGGCGCTCACTTAGGCCATTGAAGGAATTCTATTCTTAGGACCGGCTTCTAGTGATCAAGTGGTTTGGTTTATTTCTTTCACATAATTATCTTACGTTTGTCTGTGGTGTCCATACCTTTTTTTCTTTTTATGTTTTTTATTCCCTCCAATGTTTCTTAATGGGCCATGGTGAGAGGAACATCAAATGTGGCATAAGTTTTTTAAGTGAGCTGCAGGGGAGCACAAATGTGGAGGCATAGTTTTGTGAAAGAGCTGTAATAGCAGTCTCATGTAATGTGTACACTCTCTGACCATCTTTTGAAGCATGCCCGTAGTCTCTGACCATTTCCTGTTGCATGTCTGCAGTCTGACCGCTTTCTGTGGCATTACACTTACTGATTATTATGTGGGGTCCTTTGGCAATGTTAGGAGCCACACTTGAGGCCCCCTATATTTAGTAAGCTGACTACCACTGGTCTAAGGATAGGATTGGTACTGGGGTGATCTGCTTTGTTTAAAAACTTGAATGCTCAGCCATAACGAGTGGTAATGCTTATGTACCTGTTAGGGATACACCGATACCACTTTTTTAAGGCCGAGTACCGATACTTTTTTCCAGGTACTCGCCGATACCAATTACCGATACTTTTTCTTAAAGGGACAGGTCACATTTTTTCTAAAGCAATACAAAACCATGATTTTAAGTCAGTTTCTTAATATTATCAGCTAAGGAACTACAAGTCCAAGCATGCCATCATTGTCCCTGTACACCGCCATTGCTTGTATCGGTGCATCCCTAGTACCTGTTGTTCTGCAGTAGAATCTCACATCTGTGGGGCCCATTTACTTTTTTTTTTATTGGTTAGATAATGTCAAAACTTGAATTGTACTCATGAGTTGGTGGTATGTCTTGCTTTGTGCATACAGGCTCTTACGTGTGTTGTCAACTACAGAGAACCGAAATCCGTCTGCAAAGCACCTGAGCTGGTAGGTCACTCTTTGTCAGTGCGTTTCTATAATGGTGTCTGTACCTAAAAATTCAGAGGTTTGGTCATGTACATGCTTCCAAACTAAATCATAGGTGTTTATTGAAAATAGAAATGCTTAGCAAACATTGGGTGCGGCAGTGTGGCGCGGATTTCCCCCAAAAGCATTATCATTAGTAGCAGTACTACTTAGTAGCAATAAAATTAATAAAATAAAGACTGTTTGCTCTGGGTGTCAAATATGTTATATATGTCACAGAACCTACTCCTTTATTATTATATCTGATCATTGCACTAATGTACCAGATGTAATGTAGATGTAATCATTTCAGCAAGGGTCCCTTGAGACTCATAAAATATTTAAAAGATTCTTCCACGGTAAAAAAAAAAATAAGGTTGAGAGAGGCTGGACTACAGTGTACCTTTAAGACCTAGCCCTGTCTCCCTGATGGGGGACTGGCATGGTGCAGTAGGCCCAATATATCTTGAATAGGCAAATGTTTTAGGCATGCTCTGCATGCAGGTGTGACTTGGCTGCATAGCCCTATAGTATCATGTACTCACAATTGGCTGTACATAAACCTTTCATAAACTGTATAAGATTTATGTCTCAGCAGACCTAACCACATGCTTCCTTATGTTTTTAATAATCCACACAGCTGGCCAAGTACTGTGACAACATGCTGAAAAAATCAGCCAAGGGAATGACAGAGAACGAAGTGGAAGACAAGTTGACGAGTTTTATTACTGTGTTCAAGTACATCGATGATAAAGATGTTTTCCAGAAGGTATGTTTCATTTTGCCAACAAATTGGTGCTAGCCTAATAACTCGCCCTTTTATTAACAAGTCTCAAGTGAGATCTGTTTGTATTGGTCCAAAACCAATTCGATTAGAATTTTCACTCTTAGCGTTTCCCTATGGAATGTAAAAGCTTATTGGTAGCTGTAGGGCAACACAGCCCTTATTTGAGACACCATGATCAATACGTCTGTGAAGGTTCTCATTCATCCAGGTCACGGTATATCTGTAAAAAATAAGTCAAAGCAACCGGACTTGCTTTATTTTTCTTGATGATGTTTCAGTGGTCATCCAACCAGCTTTCCCAATTTAGAATGACTTGTACAAAAATTATCTGGGAATAAATATGGTGAAAGTTGCTCCAATCCACATAATCTGTTACTCACAACCAGGTGTTGATTATATTTGCATAATTGAAGCTAGGAGGTGTTATTAACCTGTCCAGGCAGGTTATGTGGATTGGAGCAACATTCACCATATTTATAAATTACATAAAATACAGCAAGTCCAGTTGCCTTGACTTATTTTTTACAGATATTGATCAATACGGCCAGATGTAGCTATCTCAGGTAAACAAATTACTCTGATTCTTCCTGTATTTACCATACTTGAATATGAGTCTGTATGACAGATTTAAATACGTTTAACAAACACATCTGTCTTGTCTGTCAGTTTCTTTGGGTACTGATTTTGTTCCCCTTCTCTGCAGTGCTGGGCAGTCCTGCAATGCTGTATTGTAGTGATATTGGAGGGTTTCCTCCATACTATTTTACTGTTCAATATTGAGATAGCAAAGATCTCAAAGTGTGCTCCTTTGCAGCACGCAACCATTCAAATTACTTCCTATTCACCTGCAAAGTTGGAAATCGGATTTGTGTAGTGTGTGCTGTTTGGTTCTGTGCTTCCTCTATATAGTTTGCACTTACCATGCTGTTCCCTCTGCACTATGCTTTGTGTTGTGTTCTTCAGAGTGCCCGCACTCCAGCATCAGTAGACTTCAGTGCAGGAAGAGCCATCAGCTCACCTAATACAGTATCTGGCTAAAGGTTTGCGTACACCTACAGTATATAAACTTGTTGGACATCCCTTTCCAAAACCATGGCCATTAATATTTTGCAGATATAACAACCTTCACTCCACCGGGAAGGCTTTCCACAAGATTTAGGGTGCCTGTGGGAATTTGTGCCCATTCAGTAGGCACTGATATGGGACGGAAAGACCAGGCTCACTGTTTTATTTCACTGCAAAGTTGTTTATTAAGGTTGAGGTCAGGGCTCTTTGCAGTCCACTCGAGTTCCTCCACAACAAACTTGTCACGCTATGATGTCTTTATGGAGCTGGCTTACTGGAACACAGTTAAGCTGGAACAGAAGAGGGTCTTCCCCAAACTGTTACCACACAATTGGAAGCACACAACTGTCTAAAATGTCTTTATTCTATAGCATTACCAAATCACTTCACTGGTAACACCTGATCTGGTGGGGTATCCACATAGCTTTAGCCATATAGTGTACTAAGAGATAACTAATTATACTGAGGCATGTAGATACTGTTTATTTGTACAGTTGATAGTGGAATCCTCATTGTACATTGACTACACAGTGAATGCAATGGAGGTTGCATGAATTTTCAGCTTTTCTCTGGTCCTGATAGCCAGCTACTCCAAGATGGATGTTTTACCAGTGTGGGTGTTTATTCAATGTTTAAAGTTCATGCAACCCCAGTGGAAGTTTTAGGATGTAGTTTGCAAAATAGACAATTTAGTTACCATTAGGTCACCGCGAAGCAATTGGACCTCGCTGTGATTGCACACAAAACTGTAAGTACACGATCTATAGTATGGTATTCTTCTGTCCGCTATGTTCAAATAAAATGTAAATTCAAATTAGAAGTGGACCTTAACCTCTTTTGGCTGAAAATCACATCGGCATGCAGCACTGCATGCTGATATGAAATCATTTTACATTCAGTAGTTAAACAAATCTTGTTTTACTTGCAATTTCCTGTTTTCTACTTCCTGGTTCTCTTTGGCAAAAGTAATGTAATTGTGCCCAAGCATTGCATCCTGGGAAGGTTACATCAGCTGCTAGGAATCATCTATAATCTCGTGAGATCTCAGGGAAAGGCATTTTCCTCCCTGAGATGATGTGCATGGTCCCATGTCTAAGAGTTCCAGGAAGTAAAGGGAGGTGGATTCATCTGCCTTTAGTAAAAATGGCCACTGTGAGAAGACTGGGGAGGAAAAGAAAAATAAAATATGCAAAGAATACAAAGCCGGTAATTATCTAGAAGTATGTGTTTGTAGATTGTCATTACTAAACATTTCTAAAGGTGCCTTTGTTGTTATTTTGAAGATAAGGGTAAAGTTCCTCTTTAAGTATTAGTATTGTTAGTACTATTATATAGAACTTAATTGATCCTGCTTGTGTTGTGATTTTCAAGACATACTGGATAAGGTTGGAAATTCTAAGCAACCTCGTATCTCATATGCAGCTCTGTAGAGAATATAATTATCTCAATATCCAGTTCTAATTGTGAAGGAATCATCTGATCTACTACATGTCAACGTATTTTCTTTTATTCAATGCATTACATTACTTTTTCAGTTCTACGCTAGAATGCTGGCAAAACGATTAATTCATGGCTTATCAATGTCGATGGACTCTGAAGAAACAATGATCAATAAATTAAAGGTAATTCATATTTGAATAGTATACTGTGGTAAACCTCTTATTGCTGACAGTAATTAGACTGCAAATAACTAGATATGTGCCCTCAGCTGGGGTACTCAATATTGCATCAGATTTACAACAACCCCTTTTTGTCTGCATCAATTTTCCTTCTAGCTTTCTTTCAGCCTTCCTAATCATTACGTTCCTGCTGCAGACCTTTACAGCTGACCTAAAGTGAAACATAGATTTTTAAGTCACAATGGGATAGCTGTTAGCGCTTCTGCCTTGCAGCACTGATGGTCCTTGGTTTGAATCCCGGTCAGGTCACTATCTGCGAGGAGTTTTGCATGTTCTCCCTGTGCATGCGTGGGTTTCCTCCCATGCTCCAAAGACATGCTGGTAGGTTAACATATGCATGTGAAATGGGGACCGTAGATTGCAAGCTCTTTGAGGGCAGGGACTGATGTGAAGGTGCAATATGGAAAGCACTACGTAAATTTACCTCTAATAAATAAATCTGCAGAATCTCTTTAAAGGTGCCT